CTGTAATTTTTTAGCCCTAGTGTAGGTTGATAAATAGAATAGCTAGTACTTCTTGTTTTATCATATATAGAGTAAATCGATATTAACAATATGAATTCCTTTAGTTGGTAAGATAATACATGAAATGTTTCATACCTGTTTAGTGGGAATGATAGGTAACGTAGCGTCTTAGTCGGTAGAGCTAGTTTAGTACCTTGACAGAGGTATTTTATTTCAAGAGTTGTTGTTGCCGTATTACTAAGTGTTGCATCATCATTTCATGCATGTAGATAACGAATTGATAGAGTTCATTCCTACGAGCGAACAGGAGTTCGAGGAGATCATTGAGGAGTACGAGGAAGAGATTCTCGTACAGGAGGAAGCCTCGGAGTCGTTCGTTGCTGGCTTTGTTGACACCCGCCTGCCCAAGGCAAGCCCCGGTGCATAACCCCTATTTTTTAATGATCATTGAATATATATGATGCGCATTTACGTTATAGGTATTTTATGAAAACTACATGCATAAATATACTTACCTATGAGCCATATTAGTATATGTCGAGTAGCTGATATGCTCATGATTTCGTTAGTGTGGGTAACCTGTCGTTACTTACAATAGGTGATAATTATGATCACTCATGATAAAATAGTGGAAAGAAAAAATGGAGACCGAGCAGGGATGTGGTTTGGGTATTGGTGGGTGTAGGAGGTTATGTCCTGTGGCCAACAGGGCATGGCTTGGTTACACTTTTTCCCTGTCTGTGTTGGTTAAGGACCGGTCGTTGCATTGGGTTCTAGGAAAGTCACAGACTTATTATCCCGAGCACATACATGTGTATGAGCGCAGGGAAGGCTTGTTGCTATCTTGTCATGGGTTCTGGCTCTTTTCGGACCGACTGATTGGAGGCGAGGATGGTAGAGGTCTAAGCACCGCACTGAGTCCGGAACTCAGAAGCGGGGGCTTGGAGTCCAAGTTTGGATGGGGACCTAGACCCCATAACAGGAGAGTGGTGGGCTAGTCCTGCTTGTGCCTGGGATACAAGCAGGGCGTGTGTTTTCGGGGTACCCAGCTGGACACATTGATTCGCGAATCGTCGGGCAATCCGGTACGGTTTATCTATAGTCTAGCACCATAGGAAGAACTGAAAGATGAAAGGTGATGAAATGGATCTGATTGCTCAACCTTTGCTTGAAAGTAGGACATGTGCTTACATAGAATGGCTAGATAATAAATTAATCATGACTGCTAATAATAACATAAATAAGGATTCACTATTAGCATTGCTTTCTGTAAAAAGAAACCTAGCAAACTATAAAGCTTATCATATCACTTGGAGTCAAAAAAGTATTTCTACTAGTCGGATAAGTCTTGCGAGTACATTATGTACTCAGGGTTTATTTACCTCTGTTGCGGGTAATGCTTGAGGAGTAGCCATTGTGTGAATGATTTTTTTGATGGGCACAGACGGATTCTTATTTATTATCGATAGATGTGTATTTTTATTCCGCTGTTTAATATTCTACACTCTGAATTTGGTAATGTAATAATACATTTCTAAGAACTCTGGATGTATGAAATGGACTAAGTATTGTAACTCGTTCTCATTATTGGATCATTGGAGAAAAATATGGATTATTCGGGCTCTCCCTTGGGGTGTGCTCGACGGAACCTGCCCGACGTAGCTCACTCTCGGGGTGCTTAGTGTCAGTGGAAGACAAGCGCCTCCGTAAGTGCGTTATTTCGGACGGTTCTGCCACATCCAGCCTTTAGACGTCAGGCGAGGAGGAGCTATCCCTCGGGAGTCAGCCTGAGGCGTCCCCAACCCTCGGAGGTCGGATGATCGGACGAAATGGAGCCTGCGGCCTTGGTGGTTTGGACGAGGCGGGGCCCACTGGGAAATGTAGTTGCGTTCTTAATCGCTCTGATGAATTAGCGTTGATGGGTATCAACTCCTCTTCTTCGGGTACCTTAGTATTGGTCCCTGACAACGGCGCTGCTTCAGGGGCGGCTATGCACTTGCTGTCCACGCCGACATTCGCCCTCCTCAACGACATCCGCGCGACTACGGCAGCAGTCGGGGACGCTCAGCTTCTCCTTCGGCGCCTCTAGGAAGGCGCGCTGGCCGCACCCTGGCGCGTTGACGACGGTCTCCTGCTTCACGGTGCTCGCATATTCGTGCCAGCTTATGATGACCTACGCCACCAGGTGCTCCTCCAGGCTCACTCAGCGGGCCACGAGGGAGTCCAGAAGACGCTCCATCGCCTGTGCTCGGACTTCTACATCCCGGGCGACCGCGCTCTTATCAAAGACTTCGTGCGAGCGTGCGCCGTGTGTCAACGGAACAAGACGGAGTCCCTGCAGCCCGCCGGATTATTGCAACCCCTCGACGTTCTGTCCCAGGTTTGGGCGGACATATCAATGAATTTTATCGAGGGCCTGCCCAAGGTCGGCGGTAAATCCTTCATTCTCACGGTGGTCGACATATTCTCCAAGTACGCGCACTTCATCGCCCTCGGCCATCCCTACTCCGCCGCCTCGGTTGCACGTGCATTCTTCGACGGCATTGTTCGTTTGCATGGGTTCCCTTCTTCCATCGTCAGCGATAGGGACCCGGTTTTCACTGGTCATGTGTGGCGTGACCTCTTCAAGATGGTCGACGTCACACTCCGCATGACCACGGCCTTCCACCCACAGACAGACGGTCAATCTGAGGTGGTCAATAAGGTCATCGCAATGTATCTTTGGTGTGTCACAGGTGACTGGCTGCCCTAGGCGGAGTACTGCTACAACACCTCCTTCCACACGACATTGCGCGCCACACCTTTTGAGGTGGTCTACGACCGGCCACCCCCGGCCATCTTGTCCTACATGGCCGGGCCGGCCAGAACGAACACGGTGGACGGCCTTCTTCGGGATCGCGACAAGGTGCTCGCGGAGATTCGAGAAAGGCTTCTCCAAGCACAGCAGTTGTCCAAGAAATTCTACGACACGAGCCACCGCGAGTTTGGAGTTTGTCGTCGGGGATTGGGTATGGTTGCGCCTGCTCCACCGCGCTGCCCAGTCCCTCGAGCCCCGCGCCAAAGGAAAGCTTGGCCCTCGCTACGCCAGTCCGTTACAAGTGCTGGAGCGCATCAGCGAGGTGGCGTACCGCCTCCAGCTTCCGAAGGGCGCCTGTCTGCATGATGTCTTCCATGTGGGGCTGTTGAAGCCCCACAAAGGTGATCCCCCAACGGCGCCTGCTCCTCTGCCGCCGACATCGGATGGTCGGCTGCTGCCAGCTCTGGAGCGCGCCCTTCGTGCACAACTTCGGCGAGATGTGTGGCACGTGCTTGTCAAATGACGCGGCCTACCAACGGAGGACGCGATGTCTACCCCGACTTCCAGCTCGAGGACGAGCTGTTTGCGCAGGCGGGGAGACATGTTATGACCGGCTTCCCCTATGCCAGGCGCAGGCCCAATAGTGGCTAGGGGGCCGGCTCTGTTAAGGGGCTTAGAGGCCCAATTTATCGCTTATTTGGTATTTTCTTAGAGATAAATATAGTTCCTTAATTATAGCATCTATAAGGAAGGATAAATACTTGTAATCTTGGATAATTGGAAAATAAGCAGCAGCAACCTAATTTGTTGCCGGCTTCCATGGGAAGCCCTAGCCGCACCCCTCTGTCCTCCCTGCGCCGTGATCACGGCGCCCGTTTGTCGTCCTCGTTTCCCTAAGCTTCATCCACGATCTCTCACCCCTACACCCTACGCAACAAGCCTGGTAGGATCCGTAATCCTATCAAATACAATACAGGGGTCTGTGTTATTCAAAATGACAGAAAACATTAGATCTGTTATACAGTACAATATGATTCAGGGCAAGCATGAAATCATACTCATTGTTAAAGTTGAACAACGATATAAAACTGTAGAGATTTCAGGAAAAAATCTAGTCATTCTTAAAGTTGAACGGCAATATAAAACTGTAAAGATTTCAGGACATGCTGAAAAATCTCACAATTATACCAGTCATTGTCGCTTCATTGGCATCATCATGGCTGATGTGGATATTGCCTCTCTGTATGTTGCCACTTAATATTATACAGCTCCATGCGTCCTCATCCACTAATACATCTGTGGATACAAACGTTAGATCAATCAATTCGCGCAGAAAAAATGCAGTATCCATGTACACACTCCTACAAACAAAATATTCAGAAAAGTGCAAGAAATGGGATCGATTGTGATGTCACAATTGAAGCAAAATGCACTTCTACATGATTGGCCTGACCACACTTTCGAACCTGGTCACGGAATGTCAAAAAGAACGATCCTGTCCAGCACAACTAAGTTGACCCAACAAACATAACATCCTTGATAATCAATCCCTGGAATGTGGGCAGCGATTGCAGAAGCTTCTGGAATACTGACAAAATCAGTGAAATATTAATACAAAAATAAAGCGATCATAGGAGCTTAAAGAATATACGGTACCACCAGAACATTTAAGCTGAGCACACGACTTACTGGTTATCTGTCAGTATCCCAACATTAACTAACTGAACCTATAACTTAGGTACAGTTTGTACTGTCATTAGTGTTTCCAGATGATCCATGATGGTAAATTCTCCGTGCTGCATAGTAAGAGAAAAGGTACATTCATTGGGTAGTTGGTGTAGTCATCTTAAGACTCACAGCCCACAGGTGTTAATGTTTTCAAATCTCGCAACATCCAGACAAATTGCCCACTCAACCTGTCATTAGTAGGATGGGTATCAAAATGTGGTTTTTCACTGGAGATTCGTCGCTGGCAGTCCAGTTTTTAAGGGCGGGTGGGGCTGGGGTTACTGAGTATGAATAGAGACAATCATTGATTCAAATATATCACGATTTCTTTTCTTGGGTAAATCACTTGAAGTGTTAAGCTACATAGTACAAACATGATTGGAGATATTTGACAGAACAATTAATCAAGCTTTCTCCATTCAGGTTCAGGCAACTACTTTGAACTGATTGAAGCCATTCCTCAGATATATCTACTTCATTGGATTTTGCAGCCCCCTGAATCTGGCCCTCGCCGGACATTTCCATAGGCAGAGAGTTCAACAAGATCCATGTCCCGTCCTGCCAATATCAAATAGGGTTATTCAGTAAGCTGAGAACCTGAATCGCTAATGCTCCTTTAAAAAAGAAGACTGTTTTAAGACAGATATTATTTACCTGAAACCCTACAATATGCACTCTTCTGTATGAGCTCAGATTTGGATATCTCAGTCTTGTTGCCTTTAGATCGATTCACTGTAGCCTGCAAGCATAAATCTCTACATCAGTCATCTGTTGTGGTTTTGTGACTTCTAAAAACAAACAGGTTCATCACACTAGTCATACATACTGCTTGCCACGCTGTTTTCCCAGCAAGATATGACGCTGGTGTGTTTCAATCACACATTATTTAATTTACTACCATGGCAAATCACTAGTCGGTTGTCTTGAGCTGCAATGCATTTCTGGTAAAACGGTATTTAATGCCATAAGCTCTAGCAATTGAGGTCATTGTTCTAATCTTCTCTTTATCAGGATTTCACATGTAGAATTAAGCCACAAACAAACCGAATAGGTAAAAAAGTGGAAGGCCCTCTATGCTTTATGCGGCACACGCTATACACAGACCATTCGTTGCATAGACCCTCATGTAGAACCAACAATCACCACCCACTGTGCTTTCTTATAGATGTAAAGATAATCGGAATAGCTATTTTAGTCCTCCAAATTCTGCCCAAGGCTCAATTCCGTCCAATAACTATTAAAATGGCTGTTTTAGTCCTCAAAATTTTGTTTTGGGCTCAGTTTCATCCTTCAACTATCAAAATGACCGTTTTGATCCTCAAACTTTTATTTTTGGGATCATCTCGTCCCTCATCCTACATGGCACACCACGTTGCCACGCCTTATCAGCGAAAACCAAAGACTTCTAGGGTTTCATGATGACAATGCAGAAACACCATGTCCCTACTATACTCATTCCCTTGAACATGCACCGAACCAAAATCCCAGTGGCCCAATTTGTCACCCAAGCCCATCTCATGCCCTTGCCTCCATCCCTCTCCGTCGCCAAAAGTTGTGACCAAAAGTTGCTTGAACGGTTACTTGAATAAATACAAATGAGATGGAGGTCGGTATTGGGCTAAGATGCCCCCGTGGCATGTACCTAATCTTATATTGCTATTGGTCCGGCTCAGACACAGGAAGGAGGTTCTTGGCATGCTCCCAAGTCAAGGAGTCTTGTGGTTTCAACTATTGAATAGACCAAGATTGTGTTCGTAGAGACCAAAGGGTATTTAAAGACCTGTTGTCTATCAAATGAACCTTGGCAGTGTTGTATCCGCATTCAGCTGCACAATGTGAATGATATGTATGCTAACTAAAATAAAAGAGTAAAATGCACCGCTTGTCCTTGAACTTGCCTCGAGGTGCAATGCAAGTCCACAAACTTCCAAAATGCACATCAAGGTCCCTAAACTTACTAATCGTGTCATGTGAGGTCCAAATCACTCTAACTTGAGCTAATCCGCCTATGTGGCACACCGATTGCATGATGACATGGCACCGACATGTGGGTCCCACATACTAGGCTCATCTCTTATCTCCGTATATGTGGGCCCATGTCTAGGAGCAATGTCAAAACGCAATGGGCTAAATAGGGAAGGGTAGAAGCAACATTTTACTTGTGTCCACATAGCCATCATGAAAACCTATGGGTCTTCGTCCCAGGTGTGGCAACGTGTCGTGCCATGTATTTGAGGACCAAAATGGTTTTTTTCATAGTTGAAGAACGGAACTAAGCCCAAAATAAAAATTCGAGGACCAAAACAGCCATTTTCATAGTTGAGGGAGGAAACTGAGCCTCAGGCAAAAGCTGGGGGGAGACGAAAACAGCTATTCTGCCTAAAGATAACCATGCTCCCTTAATAAAGTATTGGGTATAATATGGGAAGTTTTGTTCTCGCTTATCTCTGTGCGTTTTTTAATCAACAGATGGGCAATGGAATGATTCTCAAAACAGCAACGATGAGAAGAGTTTGTACAGAAGAACAGATATGCCGTACCTGCAAAACCTGGCAATTCTCCAATGTGCTCTTCCCTCCCTGTCAATTTAACAAGATCAGTGATACGCTGATACAATGCCACAAAAAAAACATATATACCATATAAAAGCACTAAAAATTGGAATAGTAGATATTAGTGTGTCTTATTGCTGTCCAGGAGCCGCTAGATTCCCAGGTTTTTGCACCAATCTGCACAAAAAATAACAGCAAAGGAAAGCGTCGGAACAAGTGGTTTGGGATTGTCGTTGGAATCAGGGACCTTGGAGTAGGGGACGATGTGGTCGTAGTCGTGGCAGAGGCAGCCGGGACACCCCACGAGCTTGCGGAAGACGATGTTGCCGAGCGCATCGCGGCGCCACCTCTCCGGGTCGCGTCCGGGCACCCGCTCCGCCTTCTCCCAGCACTGCTGCTTCACCGCGTACGAGAAGCTCCGGGGCTCCGACGCGGACGGCGGCGGCGCCGTCAGCAGCAGCTCGTCCAGGTCGGCGGCGACTGCGGCAGCGGAGGCAGGAGTGGAGGCGAACGAGCGTGAGGAACTTGGGCGAGCCGTGGCGCCGAAGGATTGCGGCGGCGGTTGCCGGTCACTTCGGCGGCGGCGCATCGGCTTCCGACCCACCATTGCTACCTCGTAGTCGTAGATGAGAGTCTCTAGTAGAGGAGCCGCAGCCGCTCGGGGGTGTGCCTTGCGAACTTGCGGTCAAGGCGTCCGGAGTTTTGGAGATGCTGCCAAGTGGGGCTTCCCGGATAAGATGGATTTGAAACTTGCGTTTTGGAATGGCACTTTTGGAATAACAAATTTATCAGTTTCAATGGCAATTCAGTTTTTATTTGAGAATTTCTGGGTCTAAATTTTTCAGTGATCCAAATTCATAATGGGGAACCTGTGTATGCGGCGGGCACAGGATGGGTGTGTTACAAGTTTAGAGAGAGCCATTACTTTTTAAATACGATAATGCTACTTACCTCAAGGCCGATGTTCGGACGAAGGCCCACACCCCACTAAAAGCAGTCCACCGCTCACCTTTTCTCTTTTAGAGCATCTCTAAGAGTTTATCAAATTTTACTCGGTAAATCTTATAATTTGTCAACCCTCAAAATTATATGCCAAGTAAAAAAACAATTCATCTCCAAGAGTTTAGCATTTTTGACTTGGTAAAATAAAAAACCCGTTAACAAAACGAAGAGGCCCGCTAAGCGAACGAAGAGTCCCGCTAAGAAACGAAGAGCCCTGGATGCCAAAAAGCCGTATATATGCTGGCAGCAGAGATATTTGCTGTGGGAGGAAAGATTTGTCAAGTTGCTATTGATGCTAAGTTGTTTTGCCAAACTGTTGGAGGCTATTTTTTCTTGTTTTGCTAAAATTATATGGATGCCAAGTTGAGATAGCAAACTCTTGGAGATGCTCTTATCCATTCGCTCTCTTATCCATTCTCCGTTCACCGGAAGCTAATCCTGCGCCACGCCGCGCCCCAATCCTGCGCCATGCACCATCCCTACCGCCCCACATGCTTGATGATTGGGCCGCACACCTCCTCTACCTCCCTGAGCTTCTCCTCATAGTCCTCTTCCGTTGTTCATCCTGTGGCGCCGTCCTGCTCCTCCAGCTACTCCAACGCCTCCGCAAGAGTGATCTCCATCCGCTCCCTGTCCTCCTCGTCGATCTTCCCTGCCATGTCACCACCGTCCCGCACCATGGCGCGGACAAGGTATAGAGGCCTGCGACCGAGGTGTACGATGGATCATTGTTCTCGACGTCTCCCCTGTGTTTCAAGTGTTTTCAGTGTTTCAGGTGTTTAGGTCATCTGGGTGTTTCAAATGTTGCAATGGCTATATACGCATGTTGCAAGCGTATGTTTCAAGTGTTTCAGTTGTTTCAGAAGTATGTTTCATGTGTTTCATCTGGAATTTGCAAAAGTATATCTAGATGTTGCATAACATGCATATTTTCAAGCGTTTAGGTGTTTTATACGTATGTTGCAAGTGTTTTATCTGGATGTGGCAAAAGTAGATCGAGATTTTGCATATGTTGCAATGACTATACACGCATGTTTCGAGCGTATGTTTCAAGTGTTTCATCTAGCTGTTTTAAAAGTAGATCTGGGGGAGCACATGTTGCAATGGAGCTAGTGGAGGACGAATAGCGGCCTGCTGCTGCCGCCGATTGCTGCTATAGGGCGCCGTCGTGGATCACCATGCGGGTGTCTAAGGCCAGCAGATGGCTCTTCAGCGCGCATACGCAGGTGGGGGTGTCCGGGACTGGTCCCATTTGCTAGCCCTTCCGATTATATCAGAGTGGAGATGAGAACTCATTAAGTTAAAAAATCGGTCGAGCTGTTCGGCTGATGGTTTATGTGGCTGATAAGCCGGCTGAAACTGATTTGTGGTGAAAAAAATATTATACCATGGCTGATAAACCAGACTGATAAGTTCAAACGAACCGAGCGATGGTAGCTGAAAATCTACTCATAGTGTGTAGATCATGCTGCCAAGAAGGTTTGGTTCCACACTTACTGTAGTTTTTTTTTTCTCAAAAGTAATAGCCGATTGTTTCTACGGCTCATAAGTCAGCTGAAGCTTATTTGTTGTGAGAGAAAAATACTGTACTATGACTAATAAATTAGGCTGATAAATTTAAGCGAACAGGGCCAAGACGACAGGATCCCGAGCTCTTGTGAAATTTCGACCAAAAATGAAGAGTAAATTCTTAATAACAGTTCTAACTTAAAAGTACCGTCATCATGAAAACAACCGTTTTACATGGAAGAATGTGCATTACCATGTTACTCCATGTCTACGGTCAATTATTGCATATGTTTCAGGACATCGAATTTTACAAGAAAAGCACAATGTTTCAGGACATCAGCATATCCGTGTTACTCGAGGCACCAGAATGAGCATCAACATCGCTTTTTACATTTAGGTGAGCCACAAAAAGCTCAATCCAAAAAAATATATTCTATAATTTTAACAACAGACGCACCAAGGACTCCTCTCGATGGCAGAAATTCATGTAAGCCAAAAATGCATGAATACATTGTTCCAACTGTCCCACGGCTGCAGGAAGAACCAGAGAAGGTTTTTAAGACTCATATATGGGTACAGGTAGGAAAGGGAATGGAGCCACAGAAGCATAGGCAACTGGAGGGCGTGATTGCACACGAGAAGGTTTCCTGTCTTGGCGTTTCTGTCGCGCTCTTTCTTTGTCCTGCAGATCAGCCCCGTACAGAACTCCGTCCAGCTCACTTTTCTCAGCCAGGTTGTGCGCCTTTTGTTCAATAGGTAGCCGATGTAACAGAAGTCCAGCCATGAAGGCAGGGAGATACAGCAGGCTACCATAGAACATTCTCCTGGCAGTCTTGGGACTTGGTTCCAGCACAAATGATAGAGCTCCAATGGTAAGGCCTAATGTTAGGAGTGAAGCTTCAAGACCGAACCACTCAGATGTGAGCCCCCCTACAAGGGTTAATTCCATAAGATCTCAAATTTACAAAAACACATTAAAAAAGGAAAGTAGAAATTCAATATGGTTAGTACTTACAATTGTATGCAAATAACCCCAAAGGTAGCATGTACAGACAATTTCTCAGTGACACCCATGCAGTTCTTTTACCAGTAGGGTCAGCAAAAGAAAACATTCGATACCTGCACCAAACAACCAGTCACATGGCCACAATTTTCATATAGACTCTTTACAGATAGATCAGCTAGTAACGAACTGGGACAAGTTAATTACCCTCCAGCAAGATAATCATTTCGACATAAGTACGCGAGAGCCATAAAATGAGGTATTTGCCAATAGTACAATGCAGCAGGGAGTATCATCGCATTTAGTGACAATTCAGTTGAAGCTGCTGCCCACCTGTACAGAGCAAGACACAGTAAAGGATCACATCTTACAAAACATGTATACAGCTCTATTGACATATTCAGCATATCAAATAGGATCACAACAAAATACTATACAGCAAGAATCGACCAATATTAAACACACTTGAAGGTTTCCAGAAACTTTTTACATGATCTAACGGAAACTGCAGGGCATCATGGATGGGTGGATATTGCTGAAGCATAGTTGCAAAGAGTGGTCAAGATCACAATTTTGTACAGATATTTTAGTAATTCAAATTCTAGACGTCAAACTTACTTTATGCAGTCATGATATGCCCTTGACTAACAATAGACAACTTGATTCTTTGGAGAACATATCAAACGCATCTCATACTTTCACCTGTACCCCTGTGCAGCTCAGCCCATAGTCCCATGGTCCAAGCACCCCAGAGAAACTAGTGAATGTGCTTCGTGCATTTACAAAGTTGAATCAAATTCACAATTTGACTGCAACCTTTCCTTCTATATAGAGTTATAGACCAACTACTGTCAATTATGTATGTTCTTTTGCAGAAAATATATACAGTGCCATTACACAAACAACTACTCAAATTCCTAAGAATACAAGAAATGGTCAGTAACTTACCCCAGAAGTGGTGGAATGGCACCAACGACTGCCCCAACCCATGTATTAACAGGGTGTATTTGCTTCAACGGCGTATACACAAATGCGTACAGAACAAGATTAGAAGCTGCAAGCCCAGCTGCCAAGCCATTAGCCTGCACAAACCTTGCCAATTTTTTGCATGTTTAGTTCCAGTGTCAGCTTTCTATCTACTTCACAGCTTAGTAAATTTCAAAAGACAGTAGAATATACATCTATAGAATGCAAAGAGAAAGCAAGAACCTTCCAGGCCAGCAAAGCTGTTCCTGCAACTCCAACACTTGTAGCCCACATGGCAGCATGTGCAGGACTAATGCGACCAGATGGCAGGGGACGTCGCATTGTCCTTTTCATTTGAGCATCATTTTTTATCTCGAACACCTGAAAGTAGGTGTTAATGATCAAATGAGTTGTCTTGGGGCAGCTAAAGTAAGTACAGCAAGTTCAACCAGGGTTATCCATAATTCCATATAGGCAATAGCTCCAATTTCAGATATTGCGTAATGTGTGGGAAGTTGATTACATTAAGAAAACTAGTATTTGGTGCAAGATCATGAAGAACCAAAGATTTGCATGCATGTTAGTACAATGTATATTGATTTAGCATGTCAAAAAGTAATAAATGCATACCTGGTTGAGGGTATTTGCAGATGCTGCAACCATCATTGTACCAGCACATGTGGAACAAAGTCCGGCAATGTCCACGATGTTGCCACTACCGAGCACATAGCCAGCCCCCGAAGTTGCCACAACAAGAGCACTAAATACGAATGGATCAATGATTAGAAATTACATCTTCAGTCATCAGTTACAAGGGCCCCAAAATGAACAGGCAAGGTTGAATCCTGAATCACAAGATTGTCTGAACCTATTCCATGTGAGATGCCACGCTGCTATACAATATCTAGAGACATTAGGCGAATCAACAATTCTTGCATGCGTGAAAAGATTGTAAAACTGAAAAATTTGACACCCTCATAGCAATCTGGGATTGAAAATCCCAACTCGCTGAAAAGTGACAATGCCCCAAGGACTTAAATGTCAGTAAGACACTGAGTGGCAATTCCTAAAGTGCTGCTGGAACAAATAATCAATCACCATGTTTCTTAGCAACAGAAGGCTAGTTGCATAAGGTCTGGACAAAAGATGAACTGTCCAAGAAAAAAGTTTGACTTGCATTCTGAATACAACCTATGGATGTCAAAACAGAAAAGTGCCAGAGATTTGAAGCAAATAATCCTTTGTTATCTTAAAAATCTTTTTTCCCTGGGGAGACAAACATCCTGCTCGCCAGTCCACTACCAGTACCAAATATCTCAGTTATACCAAAATGGCACTTAACTTTCTTAACAATGTATGGATGTTAGCTTTATACCATTATAATGGTGCTTTACATAGCTATTTTTATATGTAGACGACAAGCAGACAGGAACTCCCTCTGTACCAAAAAGCGTCATTCTAGTTTTGTCATAAGTGAAACTATCTTAACTTTGACCAAGTTTATGGATAAGATTATCAACATTTATGACACCAATATGAAAATATATTTCATCATTATTTATCTAATGATACTTATTTGGTAACATAAATATTGGTAATTTTTTTATAAACTTGTTCAAAATCAAGATTATTACTTTGGACAAAGCTAGAATGACACCTTTTTTGGGAGGCGGCGGGGGTATTTCTTTATAGAGAAAAGACCATTTTACAGACTATGGATATTATTCTGGTTCCATGTGCTGAATTAGCATTTTCAAAACAGGATCAATGACAAGTGTGCACTGCCACAGATTGAATTTTGAAGAACTGTCTCAATTAAATTTACACACTCTAACTAGAAAGGAGTGGAGTGGTACTATCTAATGTTTTGGGTTTAGTAACGTAGCAGTTTTTTATATATATTTATGCAATCTAACATAGTTGAGATTAGCTAGTGCAATATGCTCATGTAGAATTAGTATCAGCAGAAATAACATTTAGCATGCATACTCATGTAGAATTAAACATGAAAGATCAATGAAAGATCAAACGTTTGCAGAAAAAGCATCACAGGGGGTTAAGTTAGCACAGACAGCATCAGCCACAGCAGAATTCTCACTTAGCAACAAGTCCATGTAAAACTGAGCATATGGATTCTACAATTTATATATACATTAAATACACCTCAACAGGTTTTTGCTCCACAGCAGAATTCTCACTTAGCAACAAGTCCATGTAAAACTGAGCATATGGATTCTACACGTTATATATACATTAAATACACCTCAACAGGTTTTTGCTCAATTTTCATAAACATGTGTCAAAGATCAATGTCTTCGAAAAATGTGCACACAAAAACCTAGTTCTAATTTTCTCAGAATTCAACACAAGTACCAAAGAACATGCCCATACTCGATATTGATTCAGTTGTTAAAAAAGAAAGAAAACTGAAGATTCCATTATCAAACTTTTGTCTCAAAAATCTATACAGCTTCATACGACTCTAGTCTAGGACTAAATATACAACAATAGTAAACCGAGTGAAGCAGCACCTATCCTAGTGATATCTGCAGTCGCATGAAATGATGCCGTGTTATTCAATTTATATTCGAAAGTTATTCCGAGAAACATTACAACAGATCCATGGGTAAGATGGGCTCAGGGGAGAGAAAATCACGCACCTGAGGCGGGCTTTCGAGAGCTCCCAGTAGCACTTCCCATAGTGCCGCAGCGCGTCGGAGATGGATCCGGTATGCTGCGAAACGGATACAGCCGCCGCCGCTTCTTCCACGATGGTGTTCGCCGCGGCAGTGGACGGGGCGGAAGAGGAGGAGGAGGCGCGCGAAGCAATAGGAGCGAGCGACGTGACCGGGTGGTGGATGGGGTCGAGGAGGAGGCGCGAGCGGAGAGCCCTCGCGGTGGAGGTGGCGGTGGCGCCGCCCCTCCACATGGCGACTGCAGGTGCGGGGTGCGGGCTGCGGCGACGACGAGGCCCGGTGGTCGACGGTGGGAATGGGAATACGGCGTGTGAGGCAGGTCGGGGTGGTGAGCTGGGCTGAGAAGACAAGGATCCAGGAGTGAAATGAGCATATGGGATGGGCCGGGCCCAAGTGTGTCTTGACATAGTCAGTCTCAACTCTCAAGTGGGTTTCGGCGGGGCGCTACGGTGCAGTGCAGCCGGCTCGATCTTGGAGGACGTGGCTGGGAACCTGTTTATTAATTAATTAATTAAAGAACTAGAAGGACTCTCCCCGTGTTTTTTTTTTGCGACAAGACTCTCCCAGTGTTGTTGGTGAATTTGGATGCTATTAACTACTGAAAATCAAGGAGTATACATATGTATGGCGTTTAGAACTTCTAACTACAAGCAAGTACATGTTCACGTCTTCTCATCTGTGGTTCTTAAATAGTTTAATGTAAATTCCAGGTACTTGCTCTTCTAAGAACTTTCAAATGTGCCTCAAATTTAACTAAAAAATATGCAATAGCAAGTGAAATGTATCATAAGCTCTCCTCTAAACTAAAAAATAGAGATAAGACACATGCTTTATAGATGTTTTTATCTGTTCTTATCTTGATCATCGTGCCAACATCGTGCACGCACGCTTGAGGATAGAGCTTCGTTCGAGAAAGCCATAATGATTAATCTTGGTGATGCGAGCAAAACCAAATTTTTGGTGTCGGCTTGGCTTAGAGGACATGCTCCTAAGAATTTTGCCTTGGCCTCATACAAGATCTCCAAGAAGGAATACCTCATAGTCCGTGACACCTTGCTTAACAATACTTTGGATTCAAGACTTCAATCTAAATGCATTTTCAATAGGGCAACAATTGATGTCATGTTCAGTTATTGGATTGTTTGCAAAACATACAGCTCTCTCCGGGTGTTCTTGATTTGATCATTGGACACTCACCACTCATGGGGAGTACACTCCCGCCTCCGCGTACATGGCACAATTTGAAGGATTTGCTCAGTCAGACTTGTCTAGACTTATGCGGCAAAACCGGACACCACTAAAATTGTAATGTTTGTTCGTTTGTTGGTCCTCCAAAACAGAATTTAGACCTCAAATCGCCTCATAAAGCATGCTTGACCAAATCAAAGAACATGCCCTCTATGTCATGTCATGACTGAAACTGTGATTCACTTGTTTGTTCATTGTCGATATTCCATTCTGATTTGGGATCTCATCTTTGGATGGCTTTTTCCCAACACCTGTGGCCCCACGGCCAATAGTAGCACTACTCCACACAGTAAAGGATTGGTTGACGAAGGTAGTTAGTCAATAAGTATTGTAGTCACGTGGAAAATAAGAAACAACACCTACCAATTCCCTCACTCCATAGGCGGAGCTATGTGGGGCCATAGTAGGCCATGCCCCCCTTGGCTCTGTAAATTTTCTAAAGTCCATATACTGTTCGGATGGTATAGAAATACAAATACAAGGTCATTAATAATAATGCAGAGTCAAGGCAGCTAGCAAGCAAGCAACCAATCCATCCGTAGACATAGCAAACAACATAATCCACATTCAGTCTCTATTTTTACTTTCTGCTTTTCTTCGTCAAAGTGGCAGTGTCTCTGTGGCTCACAACAATTAGTTACATCTCTCCACCGCAGACGGCTCTGCACTTGGCATGCCGCAACATAGATCTTGCCAACCTAGAAAGGTCTCGGACTGCCGTAAGGTGTCTTCTTGTTCAGCACGTGCTTGCAAAATGCCCCCCCTCTTGATTGGGCTGCACGCTCCGCCACTGCCTCACTCTTAGGAAAAAAATCAACGAGGGGACTTGCATCTGTTGCAAAGCAGGAATGAAGCAACTTGCTGAGATTTTGCCGGTTCTCCTACTAGTGCAATGTGGGGCTACCGTTGAGTTCTAATGTTCTTTTATTCTTCTTTGGTCTAGGACTTATTATTTTCCCTATTTTTTAACAAAAATGACAGATCCTAGTTAAAAAAATATTGTGTTGACATTCGGGATACATAAAATGTGAACGCTGACATTGGGACGGCCTGACTATCAACCGGTCATAGACATTCAGAAACATAGATCACGAAACGTGGTTGAAATGTGAAAACCAAGATCTCAGGCAAAATCAATAATGCTTCAGTCAGGGATGGACACTCCTTGACAGACCTGTGCACTACCGCTACCGGTCCAACAGCCTTCCTGCTCTCTACGTCTCCTCACCTCTCTCAAAAATATCTCCCTACTCTGCTCACCCATCGCTTGCTTCATCGCACCGTGCGGTCATCCGCATCGCCGCCGTGGCCATCTCCTCGCGTGTGGCCCCGTCCTACGCTGCGTCGCGCCACTCTTCCTTGCTATCGTGGCCATCTCCCCGCGCGCGCAGCCATCATGCGCCGCACCACCCACTCTGCCAGGCGAAGGTCGTCATCGTCTCCCGTGGTTGGCCGAAGACACCACGACAAGAAAAAGTGCATGTTACAAGAGTATGTTTCAAATGTTTAAGATGTTTCAGAGATATGCTGCAAGTGTTGCATATGGATATTGCCAAAGTAGATCGGGATGTACACATGTTGCAATGGCTATATACGTATGTTGCAAGCGTTTGTTCGAAATGTTTCATCTATTTTTTAGACATATATTGTAAGGGTTTTATCTAGATTTGCATATGTTTCACACAGATGTTCCAAGAGTTTGTTCGAAATGTTTCATCCATTTCAAACTCATGTTGCAAATGTTTTATCTAGATATTGCATATGTTTCACACAGATGTTGCACGTGTTTGTTCCAAATGTTTTATTTGTTTTAGATGTATGTTGCAACAAGTTTTTTTTTGGTGTTGTAAGTGTTTTCATATCTCAAGTGTTGAATGGGACGGCCAGAGTCACACGATGCACATCCACAGGGGGGGTGCGAGTGTGCGGTCCCCATGTGCGTGATATGGAGCGGGGTGCAGCGCGGAAAGCGAAGCAGAAGCGTGCAGTCCTTATGTGCGAGCAGATGATGCAAGCAGGGCGAGGCATCCGAGCGATGTGGGCGCGGGAAAAGGAGATGCACGCGACATGGGGTGTAAGCGCGGGCGTCTGTCCGCACGCTAGCATCTCCAAGGTAAATTAAAGCTGCGGATAAGTGATGCGTTGTATTTGGGCTTCTTATTCTTACCTTAAGGTAGATTTGTACTGCTTCTTTTATATACATGATAATATATGTGTGCGCTCTTATAAAAAAATGTGCGAGGAGTCATTTGTTCTTTCCGTATTTTCCCATCATAATTGCAAAAGCCAATTGAAACGAACCATGCCCCTTGATCAAACAAAAAGATGAAGCTGGTGCAAATCTCCCATCCAATATAATGATTATAGGGTAACATTGTACCACCAATCACAAACAAATCGATGGTGATGTGTACAAAGAGACCGTTGTTTACCCCATAAACTGGTTTAAACTGGTTTGTTCTTCATACAGGTGACAGCCCGACAGGTCCAACAAGTGATCATCAGGACAAATATACTACACATTTTTGGATACTTAACAAAACCGAGACCTGATTGCTCACAAGTCCCAAGTGTTCTGCTGCGACAAAACAAAGGCACAGGCAGCACTGCAGCAGCTCCTCTTCAGGCCTTGATACAACACTGGAAGTAGCTCAGGAACTTCTTCCCTCCCTGAATCAACAAATTTCAGGCAGCACTGCAGCAGCTCCTCTTCAGGCCTTGATACAACACTGGAAGTAGCTCAGGAACTTCTTCCCTCCCTGAATCAACAAATTTCTGATTAGGAACAAACCACATACATGGATCAAGGTTATGCTTATATGCAATAAAATGTCTGGTGCATAGTGAAGTAGACAACATGCGCACACAGTTGAGGTTAGCGTGCAATTGTTTGAGGTTCAGTTAAATCATACAATTCCATATGTGATGTACCGTAAATGCACTCGTGAGTGTGGCGGAAATTGGAATGTGATTCTCCATCATCACAAACAACAATGTAAGAAAAACATTATGAAGATGCCAATAAACTGCTGCAAAATGTTCTAGGTTGTTGGCAATTAAGTTTTGGTTTGCTGCTTCTTCAATTATTTTGCTATTCATCACAGCTACAACCTGAGAGTTTCTTATCCCCTCAACTGGCTAAACCCATCACTAGTTTCCTTAAGATTCCCCTATGGACAATGGCACATCAATACATCTGCGCAGCTTTCTAAAAGCATGTAGATATGGACAATATGATTAAGAAAATAAGAAGATTCGTCCTTGCCGATCAGTTATGACAGAGAATATAATGCATGAAGTAGGAATAGGTGGTTCTTGAATTCATGCGTCCATTTACTGGACAACCGATCTGCAGTTGTTGGGACCTACTCTGATCCCAATTCGGGCAGCAGAAAGGACTCATGATGAAACTATCATCTAACTTGTTGAACCATATTTCAGTAGAACTCCTAATAATAGTTCATTCTAAATGGGAAGGGGATTTTGCACCATTCAAATATATTATTCGTCTAAACCTTGATTCAGAAGGCGATCCAGATTTTTAACGCACACTGCTCTTGTGTCTACACCTTACTATAATTTACAGCATATGCATTGGAGGCATTATGAGGGAGCTGCAGTAAGCCCTTAGGGCTCCACTATCTTCTTATTCTGTCCTCAGATTATGGAACAAAAAGTCATCCCTGTAGGAGAACATTTGTTTAAGACATTAACCATTAGTATTACCAGTTCCAAGCACTACCACATGGTCAGTTCCACCGTCCATGAAAATTTACCCGTGCTTTGGACTTTGGAGTATGAGCTTGACTTGACCCTGAAATCTGACGCGGCTGCTGTTGACTAAGGCCCCATTTCTAAACTAAACCAGCAGAACCATTATGCCATTTCAGGAATCTGTTTCAGAAGGACAGCAGTAGGAAATCGGGCTTCTACAGACTGCAGCGATGCTGCCTACTGAAGTGGTGAGGTTTATTTTACTATGTGTGGTAATGCTACGTTCCAAAAAACTGTTTCGTCAGTTGCAGTTTTTTACTCCACTGTCAGCTTTGCTAATCTGGCTCGTCCGGACTAGTTAAGTTTGTACTTTTGCAGTACTCCAGTCACTCACAATTAGCAAGTTCAATCCTCGACACTAATTATAACCCCGCGCTTTTAAAATTCAATTAATATCAGACGAATCGAGATGTAATATGTCGAATTTGCGCACCCCAAAAAAAGAAAGAAAAGAAGCCTTAAGTTCGTCTTGTGAATTGTGATTCTGTAACGGAACGGAACAGGAAACGGAAGTTTACCGTTGGGGAGTGGTCGCGGGCGTGGAGCGGGCGGCGGCGGTGGTCGTCGGCGGGGCGGGGGCGGCCGAGCTTGGGCTGGGCGTTGTTGGGCTGCGGCTGGTCGCGCCGCGGCTTCTGGGCCTGGGCGTGGGCGAGGAGGTCGTCGTCGCCGCCGAGGCTGGCGCGGGAGAGCTCCTTCTTGTTCTGCTTACGCATCTCGCGGATCTTGGAGAAGTCCATGGAGTAGTCCGGCAGCGCGCCGTTCTTCATGTCCCAGTCCCCGAACGCCGGCACCGTCATCCAGGCGTTGTTGCCGCCCGCCGCGTCGTGGCCCCGCTGCTGCACGCACGCACCAACACGCACGGTGTGAGAAGGACGAGCCGAACACATGCACGGACACGGGGGTCGCTCGCAGCAGGAATTCGAGGCCGAGCAAGCTCCTCGAGAAGAGGAAACCAGGGAGGAAGCAAGAAAGGATTCAGGGAGGCAGAGATCGGTAGCTCTTACCTCCTTAAGGTTCTCCATGGATGATGGATGGATGGATGATCCTCCTCTCTCTCTCTGTGTCTCTCGTTCGCGTTCTTGTCTTGCTGGGTCCGCGCGTGTCGGATGAAGCTGTGGAGCAAATTCGGCAGTCACGCAGCAACAGTGTTGGACTTGTCTTCTTCGAGAGACACGGGCAGCAGCTATCGCACGGTGTGGAGACGAGAGCAGAGAGGAGGGAGAGGACGACCTCCACAGTATATAGGGATTGGGATAGGGCTAGGTTGACACGGCAAAGAAAATGCTAATCCAGCTGGTTTCGAGCTAACAGTGGGTGCCCACTGTAGCCTTAGCCGCTAATCTTCCTGCAAAGTTCTCTCTCTCTCTCGAACCTGACTGCCCGTTGCACACCACAGAACACCACGCGTCTGCAGAGGCGGCCACAGCTGGTGACTGCTGTGCTGTGGTGGAGGCCGGAGCTAGCACTGCATTGATGATTGCCTGCCGATCTGGGCCCACCGACCCGTGACTCACCCGGTCCGGTCCGTCCCGGCCAATTGGCCAATGACGGGATATTTAACTTTTTAACATTATAATGAATGTCACCTTTTTAGATAACACTCTTAAAATTGTTTCTATATATTTATAATTGAGAGAGAAGAATTCATAACTTTAAGCTATTTTTGCATACATGGCATGACACGCAGGGAAGCCAGTGTGTCTGTGCGATGCGAAATGACTTTGTTACCCCTCATCTATTTCTTCTTCGTCTCATCTCATCCTCACGCTTGGTAAAGATGCATCCCGACCTACGCGCCTCTCAGCTCCACCTCCTCCCTCCCAGACGCGAGCAGCAGCAGATGGCGCCCATGGTGTAGATTGTCGAGGCAAGGCCTCCCGTGGCGCCTCCCGCATGAAGGGCATGGGCAAGTGTTGTCCCCGATGGCTCTGCACTGGCACGCAGGCGGACCAGGCCTCTGACACACGCCTGCAGGGACCTGAGGTGGGTGCTGGAGCCAAGCGGACTCTCGCCCCCACTGCTCCACACGGTGGCCTCACGGCCACGGCTAAAAGGTCCTAATATAGCTAGAGGGGGGTGAATAGCCTATTTAAAAATCTACAAACCAACTAGAACAATTTGATTAGTATGACAAATAGCAAAAAATAAACTTGCTCTAGCTTCTACAAGGGTTGCAAACCATCTATCCAACAATTCTAGTTACTATGATCACTAGACACATAATTTACTAAGTCACTACTCACTAAGAGCTCTCACACTTGTTACACTAAAGAGCTTCACTAAATGAACTTAATCTACAAAGCAAACTCTCAATTCTAGCTACACTAAAGATCTTACTACAACTAGTTTGCGGGTATATAAATGAGTAAGTAAGGTGATTATACCACCGCGTAGAGGAGTAAACAAATCACAAGATGAATACTAACTCAATCACCGGAAGAATACCAAAGGGTAAGAAACAACCAATTTTCTCGAGATGTTCACGTGCTTGCCAACACGCTACGTCCCCGTTGTGTCGACCAACACTTGGTGGTTCGACGGCTAAGAGGTGTTACACGAACCTCGTCCACACAATTAGACACCGCAAGAACCTACCCACAAGTGAGGTAACTCAATAACACGAGCAATCCACTAGGGTTACCTTTTGGCGCTTCGCCGGGGAAGGCACAAGTCCCCTCACAATCACCGGGAGATGGCCACGAACAATTACCAACTCGTGCCAATCCTCCTCCGCTGCACCAAACCATCTAGGTGGTGGCAACCACCAAGAGCAACAAGCGAATCCCACAGTGAAACACGAACACCAAGTGCCTCTAGATGCAATCACTTAAGCAATGCACTTTGATTCTCTTCCAATCTCACAAAGATGATAAATCAATGATGAAGATGGGTGAGAGGGCTTTGGCTAAGCTCACAAGGTTGCTATGTCAATGCAAATGGCCAAGAGAGCGAGCTTGAGCTGGTCATGGGGCTTAAATAGAGAGCCCCCATGAATAGAGCCGTTGGCTCTCTGTTTAGATCGATCGGATGCAGGACCCCAGCGCCCGGTCGTGCAATGCACGCCACATGGCCCCCGCTTCAAACGTTGATCGTCCGATCTCAACGGTCATCAGTACATTTAAGTTGTGACCGGACGCGCTGCTTGAAAGTGACCGGATGCAGGACCCCAGCGTCTGGTCGTTTGCAGTAAGGTTCCACTCGTGACCAGACGTCCGATCACGCCTGATCGGACTCACTCAGTGTCCGGTCATTCTCCCTCTTCTCCGTGCGCCGCCACATCAGCATGATCGGACGCTGGACAGTGTTCAGCCTGCATCCGGTCAAGAGTCCGAGAGTACCATCTTCTTTTATAATTGACCGGACGCTGCTCCCCAGCGTCCGGTCACCACGTGATCAGCGTTCGGTGCACTCTGTGAAGCCCTGTCTTTTATGTATAGGGCGCCGATGGCACCGTCGGACTGTCCGCACTCGACGGGCGAACACTCCGCCGGTAAAGTATCGAACCCTTGCTCCCAAGTACTAAACACAATGTGTATCACTTTTGTGCTTGTGTGTTAGTATATTTTCACAAAAAAAATCAAGGGTGTTAGCACTCCACTAGATTCTAAATGCATACACAATGAGTTAGAGCATCTAGTGGCACTTTGATAACCGTATTTCGATATGAGTTTCACCCATCTTAATAGTACGGCTATCGATTCTAAATGTGATCACACTCTCTAAGTGTCTTCATCACTAAACCAAAAAACTCCTATCAATATCACCTTTGCCTTGAGATTTTTGTTTTACTTTCTTCTTTTCAAGTCTAAGCATTTAATCATCACCATGCCATCATCATCATCATGTCATGATCTTCATTTGCTTAATCACTTGGAGTAGTGCTACCTATGTCATAATCACTTTGATAAATTAGGTTAGCACTTAGAGTTTCATTAATTCACCAAAACCAAACTAGAGCTTTCAACGGCTTTTTTGTTGGTGGCGTTGGCAGGGTGGCCAAAGGAGCGTGAAAGCATCTAGGCCCCTAATTGAGTTTCGGTGATTAATGACAATACGTGATTACTGTGACTAATGTGTTTTTTGTAGAGGCAATTAAGTTAGGTCATGGTAATGGCAATTGATTGGGCAATCATAGTTGTCATGCCCCTACAATGGAAATCGTTTCGGTTTTTAAAGGATGGACGACAAGGTTAAGGATGGACTAGTTCTAAGTGTCGTTTGGTGTTGAAGAGACACTTAGAGTAGTTTAGGACTTTGTTTTTCATTTGGCCATACTCTTAAGGGGGTATGGACGGGTAGCTTGACCTAGGTGAGTCTAGTGAGTTAAGTGTGGTGCACACTTGTTAAATCTAGCACTAGGTAGCTCCTAAAAAGCCCTTAGATCAATTGGAGCAAACTTCATTCACATATGATTGCGAGTTGGAAGTGAATGGAGGATCAAATACTGACCGGACGCTGGCGCAGAGTCCGGTCAGTTCATTTGATCAAGTTGAAGTCGTCTGGAAGTGACCGAACGCTAAGAGGTGAGTGACCGGACGCTGAGGGCCAGCGTTCGGTCGACTCTAGTAAGGTCCCAGAGAGGAAGAATCCTGATCGAACGCGTCCGGTCAGTGCTGAATGGACGCTGGTCAGGTTCCGGCTACTGACCAGACACTGAGCAATAAAGTGACCAGACGCTGGGGGTCCAGAGTCCTATCAACATTAGTAAGGTTCTAGAGAGGGAAAATCATGACCGGACACGTCCGGTCACAACTTAAACACTGGATTTCGGGGAGAACTAACCGGAGCGTCCAGTCACCCCGCAGAGGCACATAACGGTTTGTTTCTCAGCCGGGTGTATAAATACTTCCTCCATTCGTCTGTGGGGGTACTTTTGCTCATTCCAACAGATGAGAAACACCTTTGAGAGTGCCAAGAAGAGCAAGGTCCTAGTGAGGTGATTGAGATTTGATAATCCCAAAGAGAGCCCTCATTAGTGAAAGCAAGAGTAGCAAAGTGTGCATCCACCCTTCTTATTAGGCTTGTCGTGGTTAAGTGAGAGTTCGTGCTTATTACTCTTGGTGATCGCCATCACCTAGATGGCTTGGTGATGATTGGGAGCTTGGTGATCATCCGGTGGAGCTTGTGGATGACCCAACTCAAGTTGTGAGCGGTTGTGGGTGATTCACCGTGACGGAGTATCGAAGAATCAACCCGTAGAGAGCACTTGATCCTTGCGTAGATCAAGGGAGAGCTACACCCTTGCGCGGGTGCTCCAACGAGGACTAGTAGGGAGTGGCGACTCTCCGATACCTCGGCAAAACATCACCGCGTTCCTTGTTCTCTCTTTACTTTGAGCATTTACTTTGAGCAATTGAATTCTTGTCATTTACATTCATAGAATTACCATGCTAGAGTGGGATTGGAACATAGATTGCTAAACTTTTATGTGGTAGATCAATAGAAACACTTTCTAGGCACAAGGGGTTAATTAGGCTAACTGTAGGGTTTAAGTATTGTAAAGAAATTTAGAATTAGCCCAATTTACTCCTCTCTTGGGCATCTTGATCCTTTCAATTGGTATCAGAGCCTCGTGCTCACGTATTTAGGCTTAACCGCCTAGAGAAAGATGTCTCATGGGGTTGGACCTCCTCCTATCTTTGAGGGGGATGATTTTCCTTATTGGAAAATCCGCATGGAGGCGTACTTAGAAGCTCTAGATGTTGAAATACTTAGAGCCGCCTTATAAGGCTTCTCAAAACCTTAGGATGCTACACACCTACAAGGCGATGAGGTGAATTACGAGAAATGGAATGCAAAGGCTCAAAACACCATCTTTAGAGGCCTTTGCAAAGATGTGTTTAACCGGATGAGGAACCACAAGGACGCCCATGCACTATGGTCGGATATTTGTGCGCTTCATGAGGAAACTAAGAGCGAGCGTGAGGAACGATATCATATTGTTATGAAAAAGCTAAATTCATTTAAGATGCTTCCTAAAGAGAGTGCTAATGAAATATACTCACGTTTGAATGTTCTTATA